TCTCCGCTGCCCATCCCCCAGAGAGGAGGTTACATGTAGGTCCCTGTGTTCGATTCTCCCTTTCTACCTACCCTTCCCTCCCAGTATCGCCACTCTCACCGCTGGTCCCGAGGGGCTCATCTGTCCTAGATTCCCTGTGTTTCCAGTTTGCATCTGTACCGCTGTGCATCCTTTGGTCTAACCAGGTTTGCAAGGTAGAATTGGGGTCATGGTAGTTGGGCGGAGGAAGCGGTTAAGAACTAGAGGAAGGTTGTGAGTTTCATTATTGCTACACTGAACCCTGAGTGACCCATCTCCTCCCCACTACCCCTCTGCAAGGGATGTCCAGTTGTCTACAGATGGGCATTGTGTCCTCAACACACGCTCCCCTCATTCACGATGGTATGATTTCCCCCCCCTCCCCCGCCTTTGGTGCTTGAAACCTGGTCCCACAAAGAAGCTGAAGATGAATGTGTGCATATGTAAGTGTGGTGAAGAAGGTTGATGGTGCCCGGCTATCGAGAGTTATAGCATCTGGGGTCTTAAAGGCTTGAAAGTAAACAAGCGGCCATCTGGCCCAGAAGCAACAACGCCCACATGGAAGCAGCACACCAACATGTGTGATCATGAGGGGCCGAGGGGACCAGGTTGCAATGATATTTTTAATGGCCTCCCATCCATGTGAAGATTGGACATTAGAAAAGGAACACTCGTATTCTTAAACTTAACTGCAAGAGTTGTCAGATGATTTTCAGCAAAGTTTTACTGTTATGTGATATCAGTGATATTATTCTATAGTTTGAGCATTCTGTTTGCTTGAGTTTCCTTAATATAGAGCCAACCTTAATGATGTGGCTGGAATGAAGCTTTCAGGACTTTCATTTGCTTAATGGGACACAATTCAAACTGAGAACAAACAACTACAAACATCCATTAATGATCAGAATATGGAATATACAGTTACATTCACCATCAAAAAGAAAATTTCAGTTAAGCTTAAGAATATGAGGGGGCTTCTTGAAATTGTGTGTGTGTGTGTGTGTGTGTGTGTGTGTAACACTGCCATCAAGTCCACTCCAATTTAAGAAGATCTCATTTATTAGCATAGGATTGTATCCCACATGATTTTTAATGGCTAATATTTTGTAAAATGTTCTTTAAGTCTTTCTTCCAAAGCCTCTCTGGGTGGACTTGAACTTCCATTTCTCAGTTAACAGATGAGCATGTTAACCATGTATATCACCTAAGCACATACATATTCTTTCTTTCTCAAAATACATATTTAGTTAAAGAAGCCCTGGTGGTGCAATGATTAAACATTTGAATGAAAACTGGAAGGCAGACAATTCAAACCCACTAACTCTTCCATGGAAAAGAAAAATGTGAAAGTCTGATTCTATAATTGTTTATAGCCTTGGAAACCCTACAACTGTCTTCTCTGTCTTATAGAGTCATTATGAGTTGGATTCAACTCAAGGGCAACAGGCTCTATGTTTACGTACATAGAAGGTCTGAGACAGGACTGGGGTGCCCTGATGGGAGAGGAAGCACAGGGGCTGCATCGGGGCTGTGGAAGCAGAAGCGATTGGACCTTGTGGGGAAGGAACCCTTGGCTTGGAGGGTGTCCAATTGATAGAGGTGCAGAACCACCCTATATTTGGTACCTCACTGACCTCCTTGGATTGATATGATGGGTTTGGTCTGTTGGGCAGGATTCTGCACTTGGAGGAATTGATCGGTGAAGTTCTCCCCTTGCACCAATCCCCATGCTTAGGGTAAACAGCGCTCAATTGATGGGGAGATATCGAGATGTGAGGGCAACAACTCCTGGGTTGCAGCTCCCGATGGGACTGGACTCGCACGGACACCTCACACTGACAGGGGCTGGAGTGCTCTGTCATTGGAAACATTGTTGATGCTAGCAATGCAATCACCTTATAC